TGTGACCTAAGCACATCCTCACATTAGTGACATTGGGGAAGGTGGAGTGTGACCTAAGCACACACTCACACAAGTGACATTGTGGAAGGTGAGTGTGACCTGAGCACACACTCATACATGTGACATTGTGGAAGGCCAGGAGACAATTTTCTGATGGGAAATAAAACCAAAAAAAAAATATTATTTTTCAATTGTGACTTTTTTCTAGACAATCTCAGTAAGTATTTGGCAGGGAATATTTCAATGTCAAACATTGTGTTCCTTGTTTGAGATGAAATTATTTCCTGTTTACGATTATTTATGTATTTTTAGCAATAATTTGTATCTTCTAGTGATTTATTATTACTTTACAAATTGAAATGTAGCAATAGCTTTTAGTGCGAATTATATTTTATCTCCCCACAGAGCATGTTATCACATGAAAGATTCCTGGACTCTTCTAAGACATCGAACGTATGACCCCTCTACAAGTCAACCCCATAGACCCCAGACCCTGGATTAATGGTGAAGCCATCAAAACTCGCTGCTGTAACCCAGAAAGTTTGATGACTTGTTAAAAAAAGATAATGTTGACAGTGCACATAGTGGCTGGTGTCAGTGCCATCATCTTCTGTGCACCTGACCATTGGATGTTATGTTATTTTCACATGTGGTGTGTATCACTCTTTGCTGGATGTTACTGGGAGCCCAACAGCTGGCGTGTGTTGTGTTCATCTGGTGCTGACAGAGTTCACACTTCTTCACTGTGTTTATGACTTCTTCTATGGATATTTTTTGTGTGTTCTGACCAGAGGACTAAATTGTGGCCAAGCCACAAGAAGATTCCTGCTTGTGTCTGGCCTAATTGGACTCAACATCTCACTTGGCTTTGGCAGGTGTATCTCATACTTGTTAATTTAGGCAAGTAAGATTTTAAAGGGGGTCTGTGTTTTATCGTTTTAATGGTTTTTGTATAATTTCTTTACAGGGGGGGGGGGACTTTTTTTTGTACCATTTTTACTTTGCATATATATATAAATATTTACTCTATATATTTTAACACACATACTTAATGCCTGAATAATGAAAATATCATTTGTTACAACTAGCTAAATTTGAAAATTTGATAGATCAACTTATGATGGCTATTGTGCGACATAAACTTACGATGGCTGTTGTGCGACATGCTGCTAAAGGGCATCAGTGGGTCAATGAATGTTCACGCCAAGTTGTCATTTACTCTGTACTGCACCCAAACTGTATCAATCAACATTGACACTAACAGTAAGGAGCGAACAAACTACAAAGTGAAATCCATTCTTTCCTCCTACAATCATCTGGAAATTCTAGTTGTGTCCAGTCTTGTGTTGTTCACAGCCATTTTCTAAACATAACCTATAGGCCCACATATTACTGTTTTGTAATGTTCACTAAAACTGCATGGCTCGATAGCTCAGTAGGACTGTAAACCATTAGTTGGGGAAACTCTATCAACAATTAAATATTTCTCACACCCCCCCCCCCACACCTTTTTTTGCCCTACATTTCATTGATTTGTCCCAAAGTAAAAAGGAAGTAATATCCCCTGTACATTGGATTTATTCAGCGTCCCAATTAATGGGAGAGAATCTATTCTCTATATTTTGGTGAAGAGTTACCCCAGATGGGAGCTAGTGTAGAATGGGTTAAATCAGATTTTGTTGTTAACCATATTGTGCCTAAGCTGATCAAGCATTAATAAAGCATAATTTACTAATACCGTGACCTTGATGGTTGGCAAAGGTTGTTAGAATATTTGTACGACTAGGGAGCATTGGGTTGATTTTGTGTGTGGCAAGGTCTGTTGTTGTGACCAACAGTTTAAAGTTGCTGTCCTCACCCTTGTCCTCACCCTTGTTCTCCACATGCCATTTCAGCTGCACTGTTACTCCTGGTGGGGGTTGGTTGCATCCGCTACTGTCATGTCATGTGACCAGATGTTTAAATGGACATTTATGTTACCGGTACTGAAAGCAAAATAATATGTAATATACATATTTCATTTGGTCGGTGTAAGAAAAAGCTTTCTTTCATCATTTCTCATCAAATAATGTCAACATATGATATTACTTAGTGTGGAAGTACAGGAACGGGTCTCCTAAGTTTTACACTATGAGCAGCACTGGTTTGAAGTTTGTTGAAGCTGGCCAAACCAAATGGATAATTACAACTATAATATTATGATATTCATCTCCATTTGTTAAAATTTGTATTTGTAAATCACCTTGTAATAGTTTTATATGAAAATTAAAAAAAAAAAAAATTATATAGTGACTCACACATATTAAAATATCTACAGGTTGTGAATATTATGTACGGGGTTGTTTTTTTGTTGTTGATATCTTGAACTTATCAATACAGCTCGTATAAATCTTTTTTAATATTGATATTGTACGTACCATATAACCTGCAGCTTAAAACAACTTTATGTTTGTAGCAGGAGACGGCCTTATAAAACTAGCACTTGAAATCTTATTTTCTTGTTGTACTAAATGTAGCGGTGAGCGAACCATTCAAATCTCAATCTGTATTTGTATAGCAGTTTCCTATGCATGTAAGGGGAGTGAACCATTCAAATCTCAATCTGTATTTGTATAGCAGTTTCCTATGCATGTAAGGGGAGTGAACCATTCAAATCTCAATCTGTATTTGTATAGCAGTTTCCTATGCATGTAAGGGGAGTGAACCATTCAAATCTCAATCTGTATTTGTATAGCAGTTTCCTATGCATGTAAGGGAGGAGCAATCTAGGCTGTGGGGAATTTTTTTCTCCTTTTTTTAAAAAAAATTATAATAGTTTCCATTGATCAACAGATTGTTTTTTAAAGTGCTTTTATTTAAATGGGTAACTCTACTCTCATTGCAAATCTCAACTTTTTGACTCAATACTAAATTAATCATTGTTAGATTTATTTATTTTTTTTTTCTAGATTGGAAATGTTACCAACTAGGTGAGATTACATTATGACATTAATTTATGAAATCAGCATTTTAAATAACTTCTACGCTTTTCATCTGCCCTGGGTTTTGTTGTTTTGTTAGATATTAATTACTCACCCCCCCCCCACCCCTTTCCCGACTGCAGTGTTCTTGTAATTGAAAGTTTGTGGTCAACAATTTTTTTAGGTGTGCATTTATCTTTGACCTATTTAATAACAGATACCAAAAATTCCATCACAGAATTGACCTGAGTATTTTTTAACTTAAATGTTACTATCTTAAATCATCTGTGCCGAATTGTTTTGAGGTTCCCCTTAACTGAGTTGTTGGCTGAAGGTTTCCATGATGGGTTTTGTTTGTACACCATTTAACCAATCATCATACTTATAAAGGATGGTTGCTCTTTTCTTGACCTTATATTTAACCTGTGAATTTAAAATGTGGGACTAGTAAGAAAGTTCAAGAAATGTTTCTATAACATGTTCAGTGGTTCTCACTCCTGGATTAAAGGGAACTACCTCACTGTAGATGACACTAGACGTGTGCGGCCGACTCAATATCTTCTTCTCCAAAATATTTTTTGTCTCAGTGATTTTTTTAAATTAAGATTATTTTTATCCTCTCATTAGGGTTTTGTGTTTTTAAAAATGTTGAGACTCATTGCCACATCTCTGTAACTTGTAACTTCAGAAATGATACATGATATGATATTTCAATAACCCAAACATTGAATGAAATGTTATTTTTCAGAAATGATATGATATATAAATAACCAGAACGTTGAATTTAAATGTTACCTTTGTACCAAAAAAAAAAGCAAATGTCTTCCAATCTGTTGTTGTTAACAAACACGTTGTTTAAGGACCTCCCACAACTCTGGCCTTGACATAATTTAATACCTGTATGTGACCGCTAAGTGTTTAAATATATATTTGTTGAACATCCAGCTCTGTGTGTGTGTGTTTTATATGAACTTGCGCCCAATGCATAACATGTTTATAGCAGATGTTCATTTCCTCCTGAGTTGCACTATTCTAGCTACTTATTGAATCAAAAGCCTTGGTTTGTCTTTGGTTTTAAGAACTGTTCATTTATCATTCACATTGAAATTATTTTCAAATTCAAAATTGTATCCAGTAATTCTTGAAATGAAAATCATAGGAAGTACAAGTATTAAATAAAAACTAATTTTTAACATGTTATTGGATTTTTCAATAATTTTTTAACCTAGGGTTCGCATAATTTTTTTTTTACCAATTATCCATGTGTAATGTGGCCATCTGTGGTCGAAGAGCAAAACCCTTTTTTCAGGAGCCAATATTTTTTTTTTCAGTAAAAAAACAATATGTATTAGAGCCGAATTTGAAAAATCAGGAGCCTGATAAAATTCTTCTGTTCCCATGGCAACAAGGGGTCCTGGTTTTTGTTTTTTCCTTATCCTATTACCTGGCTGTGGTTAGCCTGATGAAGCCAGGCGCTCTGTACTTATCTACCCCTTAAGATAATTTATAACCATAAGATGTATCCCTACTAAAACTGTTAGCTGGTTCCCATAGTTACTGTTGACAATCACTCCAAGAAATTGACATATCAATGAGACTAAATTATTTCTTTTAAAATCAGGATTCATTTTTTTTTCCCTCATGGCTTATTTGAATGTGTTGCAAATTTACACAAAAAAAAACTAGTTACAAGTCTTCATAAAAATAGTTGTTCTATTTTTTTAAATTTATTATAGAATAAAATATGAGCATGCAAGAAGAATCTGATTTTTTAAAAAAATATGTTGTTTAAAAATACATTGCATTATTATTGTCATGGGTGAATTCATTCATTGTTACAAGTGACCTTTATTTGGTCAAAGTTCAAGTGATGTTTATTCAAGTATTCTAAAAACAATTGGGCAGATTTTGTTTTATAAAGGAAACTAAAGTATGTGTTCTTCATTTTGTTCTCCATCTCATTTGAGTCTAGTTCTTTTATGTACTGCTAAGCTATGTACTGCTAAGCCATGTACTGCTAAGCTATGCACTGCTAAGCTATGCACTGCTAAGCTATGCACTGCTAAGCTATGCACTGCTAAGCTATGCACTGCTAAGCTATGTACTGCTAAGCTATGTACTGCTAAGCCATGTACTGCTAAGCTTTGCACTGCTAAGCTATGCACTGCTAAGCTATGTACTGCTAAGCTATGTTCTGCTAAGCTATGTACTGCTAAGCTATGTACTGCTAAGCTATGTACTGCTAAGCTATTTGGGATTGTAATACTGTCATGAAGGTAATTATTTAGGTCGGTGCTACTGTAAACCTTTATCAATGCAGAAATGACAGGTTTTTAGGGGTCAGCATCTAAGCCATAAGTAAATAATATATATAAAGCAGCTTTACGGTTTTACTCACCTTGAAAATTTCTATTGAAAAGTTTCATATGGTAAGATTTGAGAATCACTGCTTTTGGCCACTGGGTTGATCAATGATAACATAAGAATACAAACTTTCAGTTTTTGAATTATTATCATTAAATTTTAATTACTCCCACTTTATTTGTGCACCAGATTTTCTAAACTTGAGAATGATGATTGATTATGATTGATTGAATGATTGAGCTATAAGAAGCTAACCAAACTGAATAAATCGGGCATAATCACTAACTGGGTGGCTAAAGCAGGGCTTGTTAGGTTCTGTTGGAGACTTCAGTAAAAAAACTGAGAATCCCTGTTTTTTTGTTGGTTTTCTTGAATCATTCAAGAGTCCCCAGAGTAAAAGATTCAGCGGATAGAGGAGAATGTTGAGTGAACAGTAGAATATGGCATTTGTGTCTGTGGTTAAAATGATCTGTACATTATGTAACATACACCTGATTAGATTCATTCTTTAGATATTTAAAAATTATCTATCAAATAAATGAACATGTAGAAAAGATTTTGGACTTTTGTTTTCAGTCTATATGATGTCTTGTCCTTCATTTATTCAATAAGTTATAATGGTGGCACTTATGGTTGAAATAATTCATGTCAGACAGTTGTGGAGTCAATGATCGGCCCTTTCTTGGGGTGAAATTAACTGCCCATTGTGCAGATGCCAGGGATTAAGATTATGTGGACAGTGTGGTGGACTCTATTTTTCTTTCGACAAGTGACCAACATGTTAAGTTATTCTGCTTGTCCAAGAGAGATGTATTCATTTGCTTGAATGACTCAGGGATGGAACTGTGGTCTGTTGGGGCCTGGGTTAAAACAAAATCAACTGAGCAGAACTTGTGTTTAATAAACACTATTCTGTTCTCAGGAATTTTATCAGACCTCTCTGAGTATCCAGGATTATAGAGGTCTCAATTATTTTTAATCAGTTCTGTCCTTATCGGACATTTTTCTTCTCTCTAAAAATGAAAGAGATAAAAGTCTTGATGTTACTTTTAGTGTGACCTAATTAAATATATTGCCCCTTTTTGTAACCTTTCTGACTGGTAGACCTGTCCTCTGGTTTCCACATTCTCAATTTTGTTCAACTGTTTGCAACACTGTGTATCCCAGCATGCCCTGGGCAATTTTATGGACAACATTGTGTACAGTTTGTTTAGGTGAGTACCTATGGCACAGTGCAGATCATGTAGGTGAGTTCTACTTATTTAAGTGAGTACCCATGATACAGTGCTGATCATGTAGGTGCGTTCCACTTATTTAAGTGTGTACCCATGATACAGTGCTGATTACGTAGGTGATTTCTACTTATTGAGTACCCATTATACACTACCAATCATGTAGGTGAGTTCTGCTCATTAAAGTGAGAACCCATGATACAGTACTGATCATTTAGGTGAGTTCCACTTACAAAAGTGAGTACCTAATGGCACAGTGCTGGTCATGTAGGTAACTTCTACTAATAAAAGTAAGCACCCATGATACAGCACAGCATACATTGGTGAGTACACAAAGCACAGCACAGTTTATTTGAATGAGCACAGCCTTGACCTTGCATTCAAATTCTTCAACTTTTACGATAGTTGAATTATAAAACACTTTGTCTGGTCGACCTGATTTTTAATTTGTAACATTTTTTTTTAAAAATTCAGTTGTTGTCGTTGAATTTGCTTAGCTGCAGAAAAACATCACATGGGGAGGGTGTTTAATGTCTGGCCCAGGAACTGTTACAAGTCACATAGTCTCTTTTCAAGTCAATCAACACGAAGTGGTATGGTCTATTTTCTGTGTCCTAGTACCTCACATAGACTCTTTTCATGTCAATCAATGTGAAGTGGTATGGTCTATTTTCTGTGTCCTAGTACCTCACATAGACTCTTTTCATGTCAATCAATGTGAAGTGATAGGGCCTATTATCTGTGTCCTAGTACCTCACATAACCTCACATAGACTCTTTTTAACTCAATCAACATGAAGTGATAGGGCCTATTATCTGTGTCCTAGTACCTCATAGTCTCTTCAACTCAATCAACATGAAGTGGTAGGGCCTATTATCTGTGTCCTAGTACCTCACATAGTCTCTTTTATTGTCAATCAACATGAAGTGATAGGGCCTATTATCTGTGTCCTAGTACCTCACATAGTCTCTTTTTAACTCAATCAACATGAAGTGATAGGGCCTAATATCTGTGTCCTAGTACCTCACATAGTCTCTTTTTAACTCAATCAACATGAAGTGGTAGGGCCTATTATCTGTGTCCTAGTACCTCACATAGTCTCTTTTTAACTCAATCAACATGAAGTGATAGGGCCTTTTATCTGTGTTGTGTTTGTTTGTTTTTTTTGTAACTTTCCATTGACTCCATCCCGCTATCCCCCCACCCCCCACCCCCATTTTTTTCCCTGCTTAGCTTCTGACACGGGTTCTGGTCTTGTGGTTGACATTAACAATGACGGCTCCTACAGGCTGGTAGTTAATGATGCACCATGGCTGGCCAGTGGTTACACCTTCTTTAACAATAACCGGAACCAGTATTCTACTTTTGATAAAAGTTTAAAGGTAATTCTGAGCGGGATTTTTAATAATGTGCATGTATATTCTGATTCAAGTCCAAATTGGACATTATAGATCTTCATTCTGTCAGACAGCCACTCTAGGGGCCTTCATCCAAGGATGATGCCATCTTTAATCGCAGTAAGTTTAGATATTGCTTTACAAGCAATGGTTTTAGCTTGGGCCAAGAGTTCTTTCTTAGTGTGCTGAAGTGTAGCCAATCGGGATGGAAGTGATCATTTTTCGTGTCCAGCATTGGCAGATATGTTTCTCTAATATTGAACAGTGATGCTGTGGGCCATTGGGATTTATGGCTGATAGGGGGCCATAGGACCATGTGGAGATGTGGGTCATGTGGAGATGCTACCCCCTCTCAAGGCTGCAAAGCTGTTCAGTGAGGCCCAGGCTCTTGACTTTTTTAAGGCCCTCTTTTGTCAATTTAATGCACTGACATCACTAAGTGATTTCACTATGACGTCATTTAGGTGAAATCTCAGTAATTGGCTGTAGCTACTTAGTGTGTGTTCCAGGTCACCATTATGTTATACTATATTATTTATTCTAATTAAATTTATGTACTTCAAAACGAACCAAAAGTCATTCATTAATTTTAGCAATTGATAATTCATCAACAATAACCAATAAATAAATAAACTTAATATGTGTGTAAATTTGAGACCCACGTCAATGGGAGACCATTTGTAGCCTGGTTGACCTCCAATGTGAGAGGTCGGGGTAGTACGTCAGTTGTCATGTTGAAACACTACATCACATTTGTACCTGGACAGACTTTTTACCAAGCACATGCTGATAGCACTTTACACCCTGCCAATTTATCTTTCTGGATACTAAACATATCATGTCCCCCAAAAATGTATTTTTGTGTCATAAATTGTGCCTAAATTCCTTTTGTACCCAGTTAGTGACAACAGCACGAAGTTCTGGTAAAGACAACTTTGGTCTCTGGGTGAGTACAGAGTTCAACTACCAGGCCGGGTCCTTGCCTGTCAGAACATCCATCAAAGTTTACGTTAAACCGCAGCTGCCACTGGTGATATTTTCACAGGTAAATCTATGCCACTGCATACGACTTGTATAGTGAAGATGCTACAAGTGATATATATATATATTGTTACGCACTGACTTGTGTTGGGAGAAATTAATCTCCTATTTTAATTTTAATTGGCTCGTTGTAATCAGTGCCTAACAAAGGACGATACCACAGAATCAACAATATTAAAGATACGACCCAAAACAGTTTCTAGTTACAATTAATAAGATTTATTATGTCTAAAGATAATTACAAAAGAAAATAAAATAAAATTACAATCTTCAACTTACAGTATGGTGGATCTCGTACCGGTACACAGTTAATACAATTAGAAATAATGATGCCAATAAATAATGCGAAATAAACACATATAAGTAGGAGCACACAAATACACAAAGAATAAAACACGCCTCGTATGTTAAGAGAATCTATATGAAAATCTCCG